GGAGGCGTTGAAGGCATCTGGTTATCCGATCCCAGCAGAGTACGAAGGGACCACATGGCGAGAGCCAGAAGTATTTGGTTTTGATAGTGACTAAATCACACTAGGGGGTATGTGCATTCCTGGTTTTTACAATAAAGAATTAATTTTTATGTACTTGGCGAGGAGCTGGCGGAGAAGCAGTGGCGGTTTACAAACTCCCGGACGCAAACACGCCAGCGGGGAAAAAAGGATTGTCGTCCTCACCAGGTTTGCAATTGAGAAAAACCATGCTTCGATTCGGAGATGATTACCAAGCGAAGGAAAAAACCTAGCGATCAATCCCATGCTATGTGGGCAGTGACGCTCGGATCGTCCGGGAATGGTGAGCTTGACCCGCTCAAACAACACGACCAACATGACAAGAACGAAAGGACATCTGGCAAGTCTCTGGCTCTTCGTCTGGCAGTCCTGGATACTTGCTGCCGTGAACCTTGACAAGCTAAGAAGGCTCCTCCCAAGAGCTCCTGGTCTTGTGCCTGCCGAGAAATTGTTGGCAACTTAACACCTTGATCCTGCTGCTGTTGCACCACATCTGGTGGTAGCTTTTTGCGTGTGTCCTCTATGGGTCCTCTCTCTGTCCATGAATTGCACAAGATCCTGCAAGTTTTCTGAGTCTCTAAAAAAACGTTTAAGTGGTGAATACTACCATATGCATCTTCTGGTGAATGGCGGGCAAGGACACAGTGAGGATAACCTTCGTCTTCTGGCAGGTATTCATGACGTGCAAACCTTCTTTCCTCATTGTAGATCTAAAACCAACAGCAAAGAGTGACGCCACAAATGATATCAAACATCAAACACCGATTGAGTGTTGTCTTAGTTCAGCCATTGAAGTGGATTAACCTGCTAATCTCCCACCATTCCCAAAATTAAGAGAAAATCCTTGAGAGGCGTTGCAGGCAGCTGGTTATCCAATCCCAGCAGAGTACGAAGACCAGGTTGCTGAGAGGTTTTTGAGCTCCTCAATAACCCATATTAGAATGTATATAAACAATACTGTAGCTTAAATTAATTTTCTATTTCTTTAACAGAAATTACTATTATTAATATTATGGTTTGTTTGATCGGGAGTTGGCTGAGAAGTGGCAGAACGATGCAGAAGAAGGAAGACCCCTGCTGGGCGGCTAGAGCAAGGTAGTCTCGGTTTTGCGTTATGAATTGCTTGCTTTGCTCCAGCAGAATGTCAAAAGCGTGGAGATTGAATATGTTCTAGACATATCTCCCTTCGGGCCATGGATTTGTGGAGTTCCAGCGGATTTTTGACAAATTCAATCGTCTAGAGGAAGAGGCAGGGACTTCCATTTTTAGAAGCTACAATTTTTGTGTTGCATTGGATGAGATGATCTGCATTTCTCGGAACTCATAGGTAGTTTTTTCTCGGCTCTGAAATTATGCATGTCGCTGCAGGGAAAGCGGAAAAGTTGCCATTTCATTTGCTTCGACGGGAATTCCAAATACTCTACTGCCTGAAACATGCAAGGTTTGTGGACGTTTTCCTGCTTCATTCGCTTTCCTTTTGAGTACTTCACAGGTTTGAAGAGTAGCAGCAGAAAAGCAACATGGTTGCTGCGGTAAATGAAAGAAACTTACATGTTTTTTTTGCGAATTGCCTAAGCTTTTACATACGTTTCCGAAGAAACGAAAGCGCAAGGCCGAGAAAGATTCTCGCACAAAGAAAGTGGACTTCAAGTTTTGATGGAAATAGAAACTTATAAAAAATGGTTTTGGGAAGATATGGAGCTCCTCTGTTGCATAGCCCTTTGTTTCTTTCCAGGCCAACGAACCAAAGCCACCTGCTGAACTGACCGTGAACATTGTGCTGCATTTTGGAGAACTACCTCCCAGGGCCTTGCAGCCATACACTGGCTTGGAGTTCATGATCCCTTTCTCAATCGAGGTTCCAGCTCCAGCTCCGGCTCCAGTCCCAAAGGAGGGTGTGGTACCGGTAAAGTGCCTAACTAAGCATTAGAGTACGTACGCAACTCGGACATTGATAGTGAGCAAACTGTGCAAGGATTGAAGCTTGCATGAAGTCTAGCGGCGGAGTATCAGCTTCACGACCCCAAAGAAGGTACTTGCCAGTTTCTTCTCGCTTTTGTGGTACTCGACTATTCCAGATGAGCTACTGGAGCTCCAAAACCAACCGAGAATTCTTAGTGCCAATTGCTTGGCAGTGTCTTGAGTTGCCAACAGTCACCGGCAAGGGAAAAAAAACTGAGAAAAGTGAGCCTCTAGCTGTAAACTCCCCAAGATTGGACTCCCGATACAACTGGAAGAATTCATATGGAAGTTTATGAGTGTCAAAAATCATAGGTCATAAAGCTTACAAGTACGTTTTATATACTTTACAAAGTCTGACTCGTTCTCTAATCCTTGTAATGTCTCCAGGACCCCAGCCGGTAATGAAACTCCCAATGCAATCAACCTTCAAAAGGCAAAACGTAGCGAACCAGATATCAGGCTGTCATTATAATAATAATATAATGACATAAAATATTATAAAATATTTCCTCATTATAATTATACTACAACTATACTTTATATTGTATATTATTTAATATCAGATATATTATTATAACTACAATAATTTATATCTCAAATCTATATACAATCCATACATATAGAAGAACTAATTTGCTTTCTTCTTCTCTCTCACCTTTTTTGTTTTTCTCTCTTCTTCTCTCATGCATGATTATCAATGAGTTTTGATATGAAAGCTAACTTTTACTTAATGTGCATGTTATAATGTTTTGGATGCCTCTCCATGAACTTAGTTACAACCTTCATGTGGGGTGGCATATTCTTCATAATAATACACTAAATTATTGCATAATGCCAAGATCACAATCTAATCCAAAAGCATTATGACTATTGTGTCAAGCAACAAATAAAAAAGCCTCTATGCCACTAAAGAAATCAAGGATATAACCACCTTCATGGCAAAAGTGTTGCATAACCATGTTTGCTAAAGTTTTTGACTTTTGTGAAAGAGGTTGCCTATAAAGAATATTAAAAGTATTTTCTTCTTAAAAAAAATGACTTACTAAACTTTGCATTCAATATCTATGGCAATATTGGCTGATTTATGTTGGAAGAGAGTTGATGAAAAGTTCAAAGGCAAAGCCACTTTTTCCTTTGCTTTTATTGTCTTGGGGAACAATAACATTGAAATAATTTTGATCTATACTGCAAAATCAATTATTAATCAGGAAATAAAAGAACTTTAAACATATCTACTTCTTGCCTCTGAAGCCTGTTTATGACTCTGGTATGTAGTTTTCAATTAGGATAAAATGAGCTCGAGAAAACACTTCTGCCATCTCAACTATCTATCCAAAAAGCTAAATATAAATTCTTTTGCAAGAGTAACACTAGAATAAAACTAAGTTGAATTATTATCATCATATTTCTGGAAAACTTATTTTAAATCCTTCTTACTAAGGAGCTTGGATTTGAAATTCAAGCACTCATGCTCATATCCCAATGGGAGAAATTTAGGTAAACTTCTTTATCTGAGGCTTATAGACTTTGCCTTGCAGCAGAGAATGGACATTAGATTCTTCTATCCAGCCTAACCCTAGTTATAATGCTTAAGAGAAGAAACAACTTGAAGATTAACAATAGACAGAAATTTCATTTGTCCCATAGAGTTTACTCATTCCTAATAGTAGCTAGCCTTTTGAGCTAGTCTTGGTAAAAAGTAGTATGAAATACTAGAGTGTTCCATCCATTGTAATTGTGGATGAAATCCCTAAAATGTACCCAAAGAATGGTAGAACCAGCAATGAGTGCATCCATTTGGAGTGAGAAAACAATAAAATGAAGAGAAATGGAAACTTTAGTATATTGTTCTTCTGCAAACTTGCTTCATATCAGGATTTTTATTTCAGCAGGTATGCAACCCTCTGCTATTCTTGAATAAAGGCTCCCTATAGCCCTAGAAATGTGTGAAACAAAGAAAAAATTAAGACATTGAATAAGAAAGAAAAGAAGGATTAAATGCACATGTGTGCGCATGCACACACACACACACACAGATGGCAATCATGATCTTTTGTATATGCACAATCCTCTTAAGTGCTTTAAAATCAAATTGAAGTTTCAATATCTAAAATTAGTTTGACATGTGGGTTGGTGTTTAGAAGTCTTTATGGTCTGATTATAAGCATATTTAAAAATAATATTCTGAAAATGGAAATATATGATACTGCCAATAGCACTTTTAAATGAAGAAGTACTAAAGAAAAAGCAATATAAATATTTAAATTTTGTTAAACTAGTAGCAAAACATAATAAAAATAATAATTATAGATATATATTAGGAAGAGTCAAATTGAAAACATGGTTAAATATTATACACAAAATCATAAGTAAAAATAATGTTCATTCTTTATTGATAAGAAGTAAGTTTTTCACTAAATCTTATAGAGAACATAAATAATTTAGATGCAACAGCACTCTCAAGGGAAATTCACGTCCTTTCGAGCTAAGAGAAGCTCAAAGAGGAATAAGAAATACTCGTCCATGAGGATCATGAGGTGTCCTCCTAGCTGTCCCAAGACATGTTGCGCTCAAATTGGAGTTCCATGCACCTGAGGAGTATAGCGATGGATCATATCAAATATAAGCTCTTGGAAGATAAGGATAGAATCAACAAGGTTTGGTCTCAAGAGGGCATTTCAAACCTCTATAAAAAAGACGGCATGGAAGAGTGCAGTTTTGTTAGGGTTTAGGGTTTATTGGTGGCCGGTCGACGAAGTGAGTGACAAACATGGCTGCTATGCTATCATCTGTACCAACATTCTCCTACTCACTAGCCATAGATCTTAGGGGTGTTTAGCCTTCTAAGCAGGATACATGGTGGCTTACATCCATTCCAAAGGCAGGCTCATGGGGATCTTTCCCAACGAGGCAGGAGATTCGGAGGAAAGGTGGTGAAGACAAGGACTCTGGAAAGAGTCATGGCTGTCCACTTGCAAGCCGAGGGATTTGGATGCGAGCTGGATAAATTTGTGGCGAGCTCGCTGGTGGACATTAATGCCAGGTGTGGGAGCATGAGGGATGCTCGCAGAGTTTTCGATCGAATGCCGAGCCACAACTTGGTGGCCTGGACGGCATTGATCCTGGGCTATGCTACGAACGGGGAGAATGAGGTTGGCCTCCGGCTCTTCGCTCGGATGCTTGGCGAAGAAGAAGGACGCAGGACAGATTCGCAGGCTTTTGTTGCTGCGCTCAAAGCTTGCACGGGGCTCACGGACAGAGAGGTGGCAAACGACTCAGGTGTAAAGATCCAGTGCTTGGAGAAAGGCATGGCTGTGCATCGTGAAGCTGCCAAGAGTGGAGTTGCAACGGAGATGTTCGTGGGAAGTGTCCTGGTGGATACATACGCGAAGTGCGGAAGCATGGAGGACTCCCGCATCGTGTTTGAGAAGATGGTGGCTCAGGACGTGGTCTCGTGGACCGCTCTCCTGTTTGGCTACGCGCAGAATGGCGAGAGCGAGCTGACCCTTGGGATGTTTGAGAGAATGAAAGCCTCGGGGTGTGCACCGAATGCTCAGACTTTTGTGGCAGTTCTTCACGCGTGCACGAACTTGGCTCTGCGAGAGGACGGCAAAGTCCTCAAGGTGAAAGCTCTGGAGAAAGGCATGGCTGTTCATCGAGAAGCTTTCAAGGCCGGGTTTGAGCCGGACATCTGTGTGAGCAGCACGCTGGTGGATATGTACTCCAAGTGCGGCAGCGTCCTCCAGGCTCGCCGGGTGTTTGACAGGATGAAGCGCCACGATGTGGTGTCATGGCATCACAGGCTACAGCCGCCACGGTGAAACCGACGCCGTCCTCGAGCTCTTTGCAAGGATGGTGGCAGAAGGCTTCCAACCGGATGGTATCACCACACTGGCGGTCTTGAACGCGTGCTGCCATGCCGGGCTGGTTGAAAGAGGGAAGAAGCTCTTCCAGGAGATGTGCTCCCGGAAGGCTGCAAGCGTGAGTATGGAGCACTACCACGTCGTGGTGGACATGCTAGGCCGGGCAAACAAACTCCAGGAGGCGGTGGAGATGGCGGACTCGATGCCTTTCGCAGCGAATGTGGTGACATGGACCATCGTGCTGAGCTCGTGTCACAAGTGGAAGAGCTTGGAATTTGGAAGGCTGGCGTTTGAGGCACTGGTGAAGCTGGATGAGAAGCAGGCTGCTACTTACGTTCTCATGGCCAACATCTATGGAAGCTTGGGCATGGTTGAGGAGAAAGCCAGAGTTCATGCGATGAGCAGGAAGATTGGCGCGTGGAAGAAGCCCGGATCAAAGCTATCCAGTGGTCGAATCAGTCTCGATTCGTTTGTCAATTGTGGTGATCATCCTCAAAAGGAAGATTCCCAGGAAAAAACTTATGACTGACAGACTTGTAAATTAAAAAGTCCTTGGCAACTGGCCATTTTGTGACACTCACACTCAAGCATCACCTTCAAACCTCATGAAAATTCTCATGGTTGCAGTGAAGCTCTGGAAGTAAACGATTGAAATGAGCAGGAACACTTCAACAAATGGAACACTGTCAGTCAAGTTGAGCTCGCGGATGGCATGACCAAATGGCGTGCATCCATGAATCAGCTAAAGCTGCAAAGGTGACAATGTTGAAGAAGTCATCTGATCATAC